GGGTGTGTGGTCGACCTTATAGGGTTACTGGTTAATTGTTTCATCGAAGACTTCTTCTTGTCGAATTGGCGTCTCCGATCGAGGCGCCGTCTGTCGACCTGGGGCCCTCGGAGCGCCTACAAAATCACCTATCAGTGTCATCTACGTCTGCAATTATTGGTAACTCTATGTCGAACCTTGTATTAATGGTCTTAATATGGTGCCCATTTGTTGGCCCAACATGTGAACTATTTCGTGATTACTTTCATCCATCTGCTGTCTCATAACGGCGACAGAACTTGAGGTGAAGGTGGGAATTGAATATGACGAAAGACTAAACCCTGAGGGCCTAGTAACTCAGTTCGCCAAATTCCCTAATCCTTGATACGATGAGAAAGGTGATGATGAACTTTCTCTAAAGAGTGGGCCACTATGATGCATGCTCGACATGAACTCTATCGGCATCCCAAAGGCTCGAGGCGAGGGCATTGTGAAACTAGACACATACTTCCCCCATTCCCTATCATCATAGGCGTAGGTTCATGTCGACGTGGCATCACGATAGGCCCACTATGTGCAGTCAAAACCGCAGACACAATGCCAGCGCTAACGTCGGTTGTTTGTGTCACAATAGTATTTCCTTCCGAAGAAGGTTCTTTATTTTGACGTGGTATCACCATCTTACCACTACGTAAATGCATACACCCAAACCAATGGGTCCCACTGAGTGTGCCAATTTGTTCGCACGCAGTTTTTGTGAAAACAATATTTGACCTTCTAACGCAGGTTTACTTCCGGGACCGGCCAAACAAATTCCAGAACGATCTGGTTGAGTCTATACGACGGTGGTAGAACGGTTTTGTTTAGAATAAATTGGAAACAAACTCGAATAAAAATGTGTATATCAAATAAAGGAAAAATAAAATAAACAAGTAAAAGATCAAAATATCTTAAAGTTTGGTAATGTAAATTGCTTTTTAAAGGAAATGTGGACGCAATCATACATTTTGCAGGAATGAACTCTTTTCTCTTAACGTTTGATACTCAGAATGTTTTTCCCTTACAATGTTACAAAATTTTCCCCTAAAGAAAATGGGCATTACCTTAATTATGAAACGAAAATAAATGCTATGTTGGTCTTGGTGGCGGCATGTGTCCCTCCACTACTTTTGTAACTTCCCCGCATTCTTAGCTTTTCAAATTTTCTTCCTGCTCAAAAGTTCTCATACTTCGTGTCGGTTTTCTTGGCCACCAGTCGGCACTTTCGACAAAATCACGTTGAGTAGACTTACAACCTTCTTCTGCTGGCGTGGACTTATCTTGTTTCCTTCGCCACCTTTCCTAGCCTGTCGACCCACAAGTCAGCTTCTATGTCAACTTTTCCCAGTCAAAATCTTCCAGCCAATAGTGGGCCATGTGGATTTGTAGCTGAAATATTGTTTGGTTTTGGACGACCATTGGTGTGAAGTCATACGTTGTGTGTGGAGGCTCAAGGTTTGTACGAGTTAGGGCGTTGCAGGTGATGGCTTCGTAGATTTTTTTTGCAAGCGGAAATTGAAAGTTATGTGTAGTTGTTGGGGAAAAGAAAACATGACATGGACTTTGGTGAATATTCAAGGCGTGATGAACATATTTTGTTTCATTTTTTTACAATTGTAGTTTTATTGATGGGCTTTATGAGATTTTATGTAAAATGGTTTTTTTTTAGTTGTGATTAAGCTTTTTATGAACTTGCCATGAGCTATTATTTTTGTGTAAAACTTTTATGATGAATGGACTTTGTAATGGGTAATGTTTTGTAATTTTGAACTTGATTAAGGAAACACATAATGGTTAGTATTTGAACTTCCATGCTGATCCAACATCTTCAATTCCCAAATTACACCCTTCTTGAATTATTCACTTGAAACTTGAATCGGTCCTTGAAAAATACAATCCATGATTGAATCAATCTTTGTGAAATAATTTTAGACGTGAATCAATCTTTGAAATTTTCTACTTGCATTGCTACACCAAATTTTCACCATGAATCAAATGCTCAATCAACAATATGCTTTAAAATCATGAGAACATGACTTAAAACGTGAATTGCATCACCATTGTTCCAAAACCCTGATTGAAAGATGAATTGATGCCTTGAATAAATAAATCCGCCTGAATTTTACCATTTGAAAAAAAAAATGATAAACCCAAGACTTCATTGTGAAACTTCTTGACTAAGAATCATGCCTTGAAAAAAATGAAACCACAAATGAATGAAAATTTTGAATAAACGAAAGCTTTAACATCAGAGAGTCATGAGTTGAACTATGGAATGCAATGCACTGCACAAAAATCCTAATGGGAAGCTTCATACGTACGCCACTTTAATCTTACAACCCTGACTCTGATCATAAAACAAATCCTTGCCAGATTAAGATTGAGTCAGAACTAGATGAACATTAATCTATACACACTCATGACTTGATATCGTTGCAATAACTTGGACTTAGGGAATAAGAAGAAATAAAAGCAGCGACATATATTTTTTGGACTTTCTGAATAATGGTTAGTGGATAGAAGTACAGATGAAAATAATATACATGTAGGACAAATTGGGGTGTGGCACCTCCAACGGATCTTCTCATTGCATGCAGAAAGAAAACACACATAAAACTTTTGTTTATTTTTGTGTAATAATTTTGTCATACTTAAACTTTATTTAATCTGCTTTCTTAGAAGAAACTTTGTAAACACAATTCTTGTATCTCATTGTTTGAGTTTGTATTCCTTGAGAGACTAAGATATAGTTAGAATTCTCGAGAAAACATTTACGGGTAGTCTTTGTGTGTCTGTAATCAGTTGATTATAGTGGATTAAGTCCTTATTGATAAGGCAAAATCACCTTGGTGGGTGGACTGGATTAGCTTAGTTAACAATGAACCAATATAAAAATATTTGTGTTCTTTTGTTTTTGTTCTTGGTTCATCTTTGAGTGTTTTGGGTACGAAAATTTTTTATCTTAGAAACCCAATTCAAATTCCCCTTTCTTGTGTTTCTTGTCACCTTCATGAATGGCTTCCCCTTTAGAGTCTATCTCAGTATCTCGTAACATGTCAATCTCTGCAAATCTTCTTGGTATTTGTATGATTCTTTTTGGTCTCTAAACTTGTTCATTATCTTTTTCAGATGCTGGAACAATATCAGATGTTGGGCTACCTTTAAAATCCAGTCCACCTTTAAAGGCATGATTACCACCAAAGTTTGGATCATCATTAGAATTTGGATCAGAATCAAATTTACCTTCATATTCCGATTTGTCTTCAGACTCTTCTTCAACATCAGAGTCAAGTTGAGACTTTGACTCATCTTCAGACTCAGAATCTCCTTCAAAATCTGAATACCTTCAGAAGTTAATTCAGATGTTAACACTGCACCAGAGGTTGATTGAGACTTGTTTTAGTCTCATGCTTTTGATTCTTTCACAATAACATCTCTGTTGAATTCAACTTTGTTAGTGACGGTTCAGACAAGCAACATGACTCTACTTTTGTCATCTAACTTCCTTCTCTTAGCATTTAAAACATGTTTTTAACCAATAAAATATTGAAACATTTTCTTGTCAAACTTCTCTTTTCCTTTCCGATGTTTCTTCTCATCAGAGTTGGAGATTTCTGACTTCTGATAGCCACCACCGTGTCTCTTCATGGTCTCAGGCCATGACTGCTTCTGATTATTCTTACAAGAAGAGCCTTTCAGAACATGTTTTACCTCTCTTTTAGAGGTTATTTCAGTCAGACACAACTCTTGTGCCTCTAGACTGCTCTGTAGCTCTTCAATTCTCATGATGCTCAAATCCTTAGAATGTTTAATTGCAACAACCATATAATCAAACTGAGGAGTAAGAGATCTCAGTACATTTTCAATGATAACTTGTTCAAAGAGAGTTTCTCCATAACACTTCATCTCATTTGTGATCAGAGTCACTCTAGAGGTGTAATCAGGTACCTTCTCATTATTCTTCATGTTGAGATTCTCATACTGCTTACGTAGACTCTAAAGTTTCACCTTCTTCAATGATGTATCACCTTCATAGCAACCTACCAATGTGTCCCATGCATCCTTCGCCGTCATCAAATCAGCGATCTTCTCAAACATATTCACATCCACACACTGATGGATGTAGAACAGAGCTTTGTGTTCAAGCTATTGTTTCCATCGTTCATCTTTGAACTTGTGCAAGAATTCACTCAAATCTGACCAAACACTCGTATTTCCCAATCCCGCAGAATCTAAAAAAATGCAATTTTGTTACGATTCCGATCGTGAATTCAAATGCGAATTCAAGAAACAAAATCAATCACACAGATCTCACGTACATTCATGTTTTTTTTTGGTGTTTCTTGTGAATTCGAATTAGAACTCTAAATACCAATTATTAATGCACAAGAGAAAGAAGATGAAGATAATAAAGATGAAAGAGAGAAGAGAGAAAACATAACTAATTTTTCAAAAATTAAAATTATATTATGAATTAATAATAAAAATAAATTACACAATTGTTTAAATACACAAATAAAAGAATGGCCTGTAGGCTAAGCTAAAAGATATGAGATGGTAAATCAAACCCATAAAATAAATTTAATTTAAAAAAGAAGAAGGGTAACCAAAATTTGAACAATTCAAATTTATTTTTTATTGTTCTATAAACAATTTGATTTTCTTTTCCAATACATTTCTTCCACTGCAAGTATTTCTAAGTGGTGACTATTTAGCTTGTATATCCTTTTTCTCATTACAATATTGATAAATATTTAAGTTGACTTACGATGGCTGTTGATGTCTAAGTCATTCTAAATTCTAATCATAGCTATTTGCTTGGCTATTTCCACCAACATTCCAAGAACCTTCTTCTTTTCCCATATAATTACTCAAATCTTCTCATTCTACTTTTCATTCATCTAAACTATACCTTCTTCACTTCATCATTTTCTTATTCACAATCATTCCATCCAAACAGATTCTAATTATTCTTCATCAAAATGGCTGCCAAACGTCTTTTGGATGATTCTAATCAAGACAAGCACAAACGTATCAGAACTACAACAACAACTTCTTTTGCTTCGTATGTTTTTTATTCCTTCAACCAACCAAAATATTCTTTCATTCATTCTCTTTGCTTAGTATTCTTAATTATTTTTTATGATCCAACTATATTTATATATTTATTAAATGTTGCATATTAATATTAATTACTTTTCAATTCTCATGTGATAGGGTAATAGGAGAAGTTGTTATGGTGAAAAACATGCAAAACCTTTTCTCTGGCTTAGAACCATTACTTAGAAGAGTTGTAAGTAACAATTCATCTTTTACAAATTATTATTAACTATACTTTAATTAAATTTATCCGTAACAACAAACGTGCTCTTAATACGATCAGGTGAACGAAGAAGTTGAACGAGCAATGAGAAAATGTTATCCATCGCGATCGATGACAAAGTCACCTTCATTGAGACTCCAAGCAATGGAACATCCATCGAGTTTTCAATTCATTTTCAAAAAGAAGCTTTCACCTTCAATTTTCACAGGTAGTAGATTACTAGACATGGATGGAAACTCGATCAATGTGATTCTTGTCGACAAATGCAATGACCAAAATGTCCCTACAAGTCTGCCTCACCCAATCAAGATAGAAATTGTAGTTCTTAATGGAGATTTTCCATCTAGTGAAAAGGAATCATCATGGACCAGTGAAGAGTTCAATAGTAATATTGTGAAAGAAAGAACCGGGAAGAGGCCATTGCTGACCGGAGAATTGAATCTTACAATGAGAGACGGAATTGCACCAATTGGGGATATTGAGTTCACTGATAACTCAAGCTGGATTCGTAGCAGAAAGTTTAGACTCGGTGTTAGAGTTGCTCCAGGGACTAACCAAAATGTTCGAATTCGTGAAGGCATGACCGAACCTTTTGTTGTTAAGGATCATCGCGGAGAATGTAAGTTAATTAATAGTTAGTTGGTAACATGTCTTCATTTGTTTAATTTATTTTATGGTTGTTGAAAAATAAAACTAATTAATTTTTGTTTATACAAATGAAGTGTACAAGAAACACCACCCACCCAATCTGAATGATGAAGTGTGGCGTTTAGAGAAGATCGGAAAAGATGGAGCTTTTCACAAAAAATTAACTTCAGCAAAGATCACAACAGTTCAAGAGTTTCTCAAATTATCTGTAGTTGATCCTCGTAAACTCAAAAAGGTACATACATATACAATACAGTCTCTAAACTAAAAAAAAAATATTATCATTAGTGTGTTAAATAGATGAATAACATTTATAATCTATAAGCTAATAATGTTTATATGATTTTGGAATCAGATATTAGGAGTTGGAATGTCAGAGAAAATTTGGGATGTAACAATGAAACATGCAAAGACTTGTGTAATGGGAAATAAACTTTATGTGTACCGTGGACCTCAATTTACCGTTCATCTGAATGCGATATGTCAAATGGTTAGAGCTTATACCATAAATGGCCAAACCATTCCCAACAGAGACATTAATAACATCAACAAGGTACATTAAACTATACTAAAAAGGTCCTTGTTTGTTCCATCACTTTAATTTTTCTAAGATATGATTTTTAACGTGTAGTTTATTTGATTAGCAGAACTTCATACAAAACTATGTAAAAGAAGCGTATAATAGATGGAATGAGTTGGAAGAAATTGATGAAGCTTTGAATGATAACGTTGCTTTGTTAACTCAAGGTATTTTTTTGTTGCTTCTATGTGACTATATGCAACGTTTTTTGACCATATTATTATAAATTGATTTATTGAATCTCAATCTACAGGTGAAGGTGTGGAACAATTTCAAAATAATAATCATCAAGCTTCATATGATCAGAATGACTTTTTTGTTGATAAATCTGGGTGCATAGAATGGTCACCATTTGCCACGTCATCGTTGGTGAATGGAATAGCTTATAGCTTCTCAGGAGCAATTATTGATGATGGAGCCTTGAGGTGGCATTAGAAAATTTTGTAATTTGACTTACAGCTGTATATATAAAAAAATAGGACAACTTGAGATGAAAGGGTGTAAGAAAAGATAAGAGTTAAATATTTTGCTATATATTATATGGTGTCAAGTGAAAGAAAATACTTGATTATGATGACTTGAACGTTGGTTTTATTATTCCTAACAAATGAATAAATCATCTATTGCTGAAAGAAAAATAGAAGTCTTGTTGTATAATTTTGTTTGGTAACTTAGGCCTTGATACAATCATACAAGTTCTTATATAATTTGAGTTGACTTGGTAAACTACACAGTTTATCGTGTTTGTACTTGTTTGAGATTGCTTGATTCACAAACTAATGGACATAAGAAAGTGTGATAAAATTTAGAGAGGTATAAGATGTAATTAGGGATAGAAAGGATTGGTATTACTGATCTAGATGAATTACAACAATAGAGACAAGAGTTTATATAGAAAGAAAAGGAATTAACTAAATGAACTTTTTGCTGCTAGTCACTTAAGAAATTTATCATACTTGCTTAATGTGTAGCCTTTCGTTGATAATATGAGTACATTATATATATATATATATATATATATATATATATATATATATATATATATATATATATATATATATATATATATATATATATATATATATATATATATATATATATATATATATATATATATATATATATATATATATATATATATATATATATATATATATATATATATATATATATATATATATATATATATATATATATATATATATATATATATATATATATATATATATATATATATATATATATATATATATATATATATATATATATATATATATATATATTTTGATAACTAATGAATACAAATATGAATGGCTAATTATTACAAATGAATGCATATGAATGGTTATTATTATTTTTTAAATATATACATATTCTATCACGCCCCTGTAGTTAAAGCGGGAGGTTGACAAATGCTGAGACTGTCCCAAAAATCGTGAAGTAAAACTAATGGGAGACCTTTGATGAAGATATCTACAATTTGATAGTGCGGTGGGACATGAATGTTTTTGTGAGCTACTTTTTCACAAACAAAAATAAATGTCCATTTCGTTATGTTTTGTTCCTTAGTGCTGAACTAAATTCTGGAAAGATAGATGGAAATAACATTATCACAGTAGAGTAAGGTAGTCTTGTGAATAGGACAATGTAATTCTAAAAGCATATTTCGTAGCCAACAAGACCCAAAAACCACATTGGCAACTCCTTAACATTGTGCTTCAACACTGGAACGAGATAAAGTAGGATGGCGCTTGGAAGACCAGGAAAGTAAGTTATCCCAGTACGTCACCCCCAGTGAGTTGTTACTCATTGTCGTCCACATTATCCTTTGCTTCCATCATTTTGCATTTATCATTCACCATAAATCATCTTGCTAAAATTTATTGCATTTTATAACATTATCCCTAGCATGTGCGGAGAGTTTTTTTGCCCATGAGCATAGGATGCCATTGCATCTAGGGAAAAAAATTCTGATTTTTCTATATTTAAATACCTTTCACCCTGATTTCATGACGATTGTCATCGCTCATGTCATCCGGTAAAAGTTATTTAAATAGGAGAAACTATCATACCCAAAATTTTACTCTTATATTCTACTATCATTTGCATCACATCCTAGGTGCATCATGCATGCATAGCTAACCCTCAATTATCAAGTTTTGTATTGTTTTACTTTAGGCTGTAGATTAGGGTTTGCATCAAGTAGGTTCTTAGTTAAACAGTCAAAGTTTTGGATTGATCATAAATATATCAAGTCCTCATGATCAAGAGATTCCCTACATCAATAATCAAGTGCAATATGGCTTCATTACAAGTTCTTCAAGATTCAAATTCATATGGTCCACAAACTAGAGTTTCTGATGAAAAAGTCAACTGCATATTTGACTTTTGACAAAGACATGATCTCAAGCCGTGACATGATTCAAGACACTAAAATACATCCTTAAATTCCATCCATGATGTTCAAATATCTCAAGGGATTGAATTCATTGAAGATCAAGAAGTACACTTCATCAGATACACAAGTCAATCATTGCAAAGTTAAGCCTTTGACTTTAGGATTCTTTGATCACATATGAACTTCTCAAGATAAATTTCATAAAAATATGTTTGATTGATGAATTTGATAAAAAAAAATCAAGAGAATTGAGATTACTTGCAAAAAGGGAAACAATGAAGAAATTGAAATTTTTTCTAAGTCATGAAATACAATTTTTTTCACCCAACTTGCCAAGGCCATAACTTCCAATTCAAGTAACCATTTTATTTGCTCCAAAGACCAATTTGAAGAGCTTATTCTATAACTTCCAATCTAAGCAACCATTTTATTTGCTCCAAAGGCCATAAATTTTTCCCAAAAAATGCATTGATTGAAAGATACGAAGCCATAAAGTAGGAAGTTCATCACTTTTTGAGTTTGGACACTAAAAATTTTTCATGCAAATCTGCCTTGTAAAAGTAGCCAACTTTAGGGAAATTTTTCACCATGATCCAGTTTGATTCAAGAAAAACTCAAATCATGAAAGTTTTAGAGCATATTTCAAGTTTTCCAAAGAGTCCAAGAACTCATTTTTTCGATGTTTGAGGTAGGATATTCGAAGAGATGAAGATGACACTTCAAACTTGAGTTTTAGGTCATTTTCATGACATGAACTTGAGCAAATCCATCTCAAATATGAAAATTCCTTGATTACAAGTCTTGTAACTTCCAAATCTATCCTTAATTAGAATATTACACTAGTTTTTTGTGCATTACACATTAATTTGAAGCATTATCCAAAGGTTTATGCCATCTATTGAGGTTTTTGCCAAAAAGATCTCACTTCCATTCTTAAAAAGTGACTTTAATCCCAAAGTCAATTTATATGGAGCTTTGTGATTGTTTCCTCTACACACAAACAATCTTTGATACTCAGAAGCAATCCATCTAAAGTTCCAACCACCCTAGAGCCATTGTACTATGCATTGGAATTTTGAAAATCCATGAAACCACAAACATTGATCTCAACCAAACCATTGCATTCTGATCAATTCTTAATCCATCAACTTCTCCTATAAATAGAGGTAACCTCTAAGCCTCAAAACACACAAGAAACCTCAGCAAGGTTCTCTAAACTAGAATTCCTCAATTTTCACTTTTCTCAAACCTCACTCAAAGTGAAATTGTGTTTTCACAAACTAGGAGCTTTCCACTTCATTTAACCATCAAAACACCTCATATACATCACATATAATTTGTCCAAACACTTCAATGTGTAACATCAAGAACCACATATTCACATCTCACTTTTCTTCCATAGCAGTTGGATTTGTCCAAAGAGTTGGAGAGAGTTTCAGATCAAAGTGAGCATTGCTATAGCTCCAGTGAGGTGCGAGGAAGCTTATTATATCATTATTTTGTTTTTGTAACCCCTTTGAGAGGCCTTGAACTTTGCTCCACGAGGTAAGTTTTTTTCCTTCTGAAACACAATGTTACATGCATTATCTTGATTACAGTTGAACTGTAAATATGTTTGGTTTAATGTGCTAGCTGATTCCCTTTTGTCAATTGATAGAAATCATTAATGTATGAGATGTTAGATTGAAACTTGATTTTTAGGGTTCATACGGATTCAATTAATTGTTTGAGTTAGAGGCAGAATTAATTCAATTAGATGGTACCATTAGATTCCCCTTGAAAAAACAAACAATTTTTATTCTTATGTCACCCATTTTCATGGAGTATTCAGAGAGATAATATTTTTGAATTTTCAAAAATGGTGGATGTATGAGAGGTTGAAGACGATGGAAGGGATGGCGCCATTTTCTTGATCTTTGATTTTCATTTAAAATATATTGTGTTATTTGCAAATAATACACGACTAAGGCATCACGCCACATTGGTAAGAGGAGTGTGTTTAGCGTGTGAAGCAAGACTAGGGTTTGGGGTTTGAATCCCCCTCGCCGCATACCCTATTACATGAACATATTCATTATCACTACACAACGTGTGTCCTAGTGGTTGGTGTTTTGACCTGCAGGCACAAGTTCATGGGATCAAATCTCTTTGGCAGCATCCCATTATCTTTTTACAACTTGTTTTTTTTGTGTGTGGCACTTTTCACATTTTTCTTTGATTATTTCACCACTCAAATTAATTTATTTTGACATGATTTTTTGTATACATGTTATTTTTAATGCCTATTTTATGAATATGTCAAAATTTTCAAAGAAAATATTGCTTTCACCCATTTTTTATTTAGTTAAAGTGAGGTACTTTCCAAGGTGATTTTAGGTCTTTAGGTGAATCTTTTTGACTTATTTCTTGATCCTATTTGTTTATAATGATATGTGTGAATGTAATACACCATGTGAGAACCTTGTTTGATGTAGATATCATGTACCTCTTGATTTTTTTCTTAGGATTTGACATATTTTAATGCATGATTATAATGTTTATATGTCTTAAACTTTAAAGTTTTCCCTTAAAACATTCTTTGAACCTTTGCCAGGATATTTGTTATTCCTTCATACCCTATTGAACCCTTGTGTGCATGTATGCCCTTGTAGATGTTTACCTTTGTTTATGTGTTCATAAATACCTTAAACTTTGATAACATGTCTTTATATGATTCCTAAACTTGTATGCTTGCCATGTTCAAACCTTTGTGATGTTTTAATCCTTGATTGCGATCATGATTACCCTTAACATGTTCCTTTGGTTGTTACCTTGATGTCTTGAACCATGTATTTAAATTATTTCCATGATTAAGTGTTGTTACACCTTTTCCATGATTGTTTAACTCTTGTTGTGTATTCATGATTAATTGTTGTTATAACTTATACATGTTTGAATTCTTAAATTGTATTCATGATTAAGTAGTGTTAGTAAACCCTAAACCTTGTTTGTTTTTACTTTGTCAAGTCATCCTCTATGTGTACACTTGAACTTTTCA